GTGCGAAAAGACGTATGTGAGTAAAAGTGAAATAAACATGCATGCAGAAATAGTAATAGAAACAAGAAGAATTCAAAATTAATGTAAATATTAAAGCTGTTGGGTTTTTGCCGACGGTAACTGTTAGCCACACTGCAGGCCCAAGCAACTCGTTAACAAACGCAGTTCGCCAACGAATCGCTAGTTAAATCGGTACTGACAAGCACGGTATACCCAAATGTTAAACTGCCCTGGCTTGCCTCCCAATGCGCCCCCAGAAGACTGAGACCACTGACAGTTTCACCAATGCGCTAGTGCAAACCACCTTGTTGTCTCAACAGCTGTCCTAACAAACGGGACACCCAGAACTTTGGTACTTGCACACCATCCAGAAACACTTTTAAAAACTGGCGGGGACGACGAGTGAATTGGGGCGAAGTAGGAAGTGAGAGGCGAGGCCAGAGGTCAAAGTTAAAACCGAGAAGTGCCGATAAGGCAGGAATTCATTTTGCAGCCGCTAGAAGTGAAATCGATGACTGGCAGCGAGCAGACGATGGCCTGTCTGCAGGCTGCACGAGTGCGCTGACACTGTATCCAGGAGACAGCAGTTCGACCATCCACACTGCCGCCCTCCCAGGAACATTGGCGGGTCGGACGGTCAGCGAGCGACTTCTCGTCTGTCAAAAGTACTATTCTTTAAATCAGTAGTGTACTCAGCTGTACGGGCTGGCTCGCACTGACTGTCTGTGATCCTAGATGTGCCCGAATTCAGCTGGCATGAAGGCTACCGCCCTGGTCTGAATGCTGGACTAAAAAAACGAATCGGGGGACTTTAGAATGATCCAAACAATACAGCCAAAAATGAAAGGTATCACAGATTCCAGCCAACCCGGAGTCTTTCAAGTTCTCGAGCGATGCATGCTGTTAAATTTGGGTCGCTCTCTGAAGAACCAGTCCTTCTGTGACTCGCTCCAACAAAAACTGGCCCCTGGCGTATCCAGTACACCATGAATGTGAACCTCTTCCTCAAACAGCTCTTCGGTAAGAGAATGATGGCCGCTACCAAATACAATTACATGAACACAAAATCAAACTCAGGCTGCAACGCACCAGGATTGCCGATGCGGTTATGCGTTTTAGCACTAAACTTGCAAGTCGCCAACAGCAATTACGCCATACTTTAAGACTCATGCTGGCTGTGTTTTGACCTTTTTTCGCATGCAAGGGGGAAGGATGTTGGCTGGGATGAGGACGTTGCATTGACCACATGGATGTCCAGCGTGCATGACTACCAGTTTTTCGCATAGAACCCAGTCGTTTTTCCGATGAGTGCTCGTTCACTGAAAAAAGTGCAAATTTGGAGTCGAGAGAGCTACGAAATCTGCAAAATGCATTCGCTCTTGAGTCAGCAATAAAACTGAGTACTTCGCTGCAAATACCTTCGAAATGAAAGTCGTGCAGCAAGTGGAAATCGATATCCAAATTAAGCAAACGATTTTCCATGCGAACAAATGTTTTGACAAAATTTCAGCCAGTTTTCCAGCTTTTAGAGTTAGTGCAGTGCCACCTGCAAATTTTGGCGTGACCGTACGCACGGTATAAGCGTGTGCGACAACTGAATTTGAAATTTTCAGCTCAAGCATGCACAGAGAACATCCCTGCAAAGTTCCAGTTTTCTGTCTTATCTGGTTCACGAAATCGTTCCCAGCCAATGAAATCTGCATATTTCTATAGGGAGTTCGCACACGAGATCTAGGCGCATATGAGCGGATATTTCAGAACGGAAGAGTGACACATGAAGTGGGAATGTAATTTCAAAACTCGAACCTCCCAGCTTTCCTCGTTGCTGAGTTGAAAGTGGTTGGTAAAGTGCACTCGCTCCTGAACACACACACACACACACACACGGACGACCTCTCAACAATCAGCAAAAACGCATAAAAAGCCTATTGGACAGAACCGGAATCTTCCCTAGTTAACCAGAAATCTGCGCAAACTGCCCATTGCCCTGCACGTATTTTGAAGCAAAGTGCTTTCAATTTATGTCTGTTCTCTTATTCTATCTGTGGGCGTACAGTTCGTAA